CTTTAAGTACTTAACATTAATTTTGTCTAATTATCATGTTCATAACTTAAAAATTTGATTAGTAGGTCACAGATCCACTAACAGTTGTTTAGTTGCACTGTAGTCTTTACCGGTGTTTTTAACTGTACCCGGATTTCATAATCTTCTTAACTTTAACATTTTTGGTCTAATTATGACTTGTTAGGCATATATTGGTCTTTATTTCTATTTTCTTATCTTTTTCCTGTTCCGGGATTCTACCGGATGCTGCTACAGCAGTACAAAATACCCGGCAGAAGTGACTTTTCAAAAATACCCCAATATGGGTATCAATCTTCACCAAATCATATCCTAACCTCATTCATGATGTTTATATCATTAGATTAGCTCTCTAACTATAATTTTCTAACTTGGAGCTATTCTACTAACTGTTATTACGTCAGCAGTCAAATTTGACAAATGAAAATTCATCTGTGCATAATACCTCAATATGGGTATCAAAATTCTTATAATTTTATGCTCATTCCATTTATGACTATAAGGTCATCATTATAACCCTCTAATTTAAAAGTCATATAATTAGGGTTATTATAATTTCATTCACGATAAAAAGGAAAATTAACATAGCGAATTGTTCAAAACATAATAAATTGATTAAATTCCATCTAACCCTGACTACTTAAAGAATTAGCCGGACATAGCAAGATCAAGAACGAAAGAAAATAGAAAAGCTTCCCCAAACTCCATAGTTGATTGGTGAATCTTCAATATCTCCAGTAAAAGCTTGATTTTGATCCGTCTTCGCCGCTCACGAAAACGAACCAATGAATCCTCCACGTTCCGTCTACCTCCAAGTACTAAGAACTCTCTTAGAATGTGAAAAATTGATTAATTCTGACCCCAAATGTGTTTTTAAGGGCAAATAATTCGTGCCCTAGGTGGATACTTCAAGTGGGCCTAAGTTGGGTCTTTCGGAGCGCTTAAGCCTGAATCTTCGTGCTTAAGCCTGCTGATATTTGCATGGGATTTTAACGTGACACGCTTAAGCGCGCTCTTCGAATCAGAACTTTCTTCTTGCAGCGCGCTTAAGCCCAAAATTGGGGGCTTAAGCGCCCTCAAACAGTGGATAATTGCTCTTTTGATTGGATTTTCTGGAATTTCAGGGGGCTTAAGCCTCAAAATGGGGGCTTAAGCCTCCTCTTCAACAACTTATAATTTTAATTTTCTTTAGATAAATTCTCATATCTTCTAGTTTTGATCTTTATTTATCCAATCTTCATCTTTGACTCCATTTATCATCAAATCTCTTCAAAACTAGCAAATATATTTTATTTAATTCATAATTAATAATGTTCATGATTTTTATATCAAAACCCTAGTTTTTAACTTGTTTAACTTGATAATTCATATTATTCCTACTTTAGACTTTATGATCATATGAAGATGGGGTTTTATTAGGTGATTCTCAGATAAAGTAATGATGTATATTGATTTTTGGCACATATACCTTGGCTTGCAAGTTGTATATTTTAAATCGCGTCCACCTGATATATCCAATGATAGTGCAGGCAGATAGGTGTATTTTGAAGTATATTTTTTCTTTAATAAAGAGCGTGTATAAGTTGTCTTCTTCTGTATTAAAAAAAAAAAAAGGTTGTCTTCTTCGATACAAGAGGATGTCTACTAAAATCATTGGGTTATGGATTGTGGTCATCTATGTATGGAGATTATTTAGAGTGAACTGAGATCACCATTTTTTAGGTAGTCTCTTAGTGTAAATAGAAGGGTAAAATCGGAAAAGAGAGAAAATAACAGGGATAAAAAGGAAAAGAAAAAATTAATAATGTGAGAAGGAGTACCAAAATATTCAGTGGTCCTGGACCATATTAAATATTTCCCTATGTATGGCACTACTGCCAGAACTTGTCTACACTTTACTTCAGGGTGTGTTTGGTGGAAGAAGAAAAAAATTTGATCCGATAATTATGATTTTGAAGAATATAATAGGAAATTTACTTTTTTAGGAATATTATAAAAAAATTATTTGATTGACCAAAATATTACTAAAAATATTGCTTCAATTTTGTTGATGTTAAGCTTAGTTGATTGCAAATATCGCTAGAAATATAATAAAATTTTCATTTTTTGAGAAATCCAAGAATACCATCTTCTGGATGGTATTTTTGGATTATATTCTTGCTTAAATTTTGCTTACAAAACAAAATCTCGTAAAAATCACATTCTCGAGATTATTTTTTGAAATTCTTTATGAAACATGGGTAACTTAGATTATCATATTTAGTTTCCTAAGAATCTAACCAAACACCCCCAAATTTAGGGTCTCTTTGGTACGGAGTTTCAAACACGAATAAGAAATTAATAGATTTATATTTTTCTAATATGTCCTCAAATAAGAGTTTATATATTGAGCTTAAAAGGTAGATAATGCATCAGATCTAATTTATCTCTATTAAGAAATTTTATAATATTTAATTATATTTAGGAAAAAATTCAAAAAAAAATCCTTATAGTTTTATTTTAAATCAGTTATACCCTTACGTTGTTTTTTTAATTACTTACCCCCTTATGATTTTTTTCATTCAAACTAATTCTTAACACAGTTAAAAACTAAATTAATCTATTTATTTTACCTTCCTTATTAGAAGAACAAAATAAACTTAGGACAAAATAAATAAATAAAAGGAGAAACAAGGTCAAATATGTTGAAAACTTACATACACACAGAAAAGACAAAAAATAAAAAAGAAAAAAATATGAAATATGCCTAAATCAGAAGAAAAAATAGACCGGGGAGGGGGGACCTAAAAAAGAAGAGGAAAAAATATAAGGATATAAGTGATTTAAAGTAAAATTATAGGTGGATTTTTTGAATTTTTTGTTATTTTTATTAATAAAATGGGGTAGTAAAGATTGAATTTATGATCAAGTGATCAGGGAACCTTTGATACTAAATTTAAAACAACTATTTTTTCTGAAAAGCTTAAGTGGTCATTAATAATTTTATATTTCTTTAAGTGATTAGCTTTCAATACAATAAGTTTATGAATAAAACTGATTCACAGAGTTTTCAATACAAAGACTATCTGGGAAAGGAAGATGTACATAATCAATTAATCATCAATTCGAAGTTCTAAAATATATGAAGAAAAAGTAGCAATGAGAAACATATTTCAATTGAAACTTAGGGTGTGTTTGGTTGGAGGATTTTGATGAAAAAGATAGAGAAATGTGAAGTGGGATTATAAGGTGACTAGGTTTGGTTGAACGATTTTGGAAATTTGGCTACGTAAATCATATTGTTATGAAACTGGCTTGCATATGTATCTGTGTCCAAATAGCCGGTGAAAGTTTTCCTTTTCAGATGTGGTATTGTGCTTTCGCTATCTATGTATCTGTCATTTTTTTTTTTTTTTGATTTGGAGGTTGGCAAAGGATACCCCATCTTTAACGGGTTAAGGGCAGCATGACCGATTGAAAAAAAAATTAAATATAAGGTTATTTTCGTAATATCAATTATTTTCCCCATCTATATTTTAACTACACCCAAATATAGACTTTATAAAAGTTACCTAATTTTTGCATCAAAATTGTATCCAACCAAACAATTCATTTTACATTTTCTTACCAAACTCAGATTACCATTTACCTATTAATTATATTTCCTTATTATTCATAAAAATTTCTTTCTTAGTCAAACGCCCCGTCAGTGTTTTGCATGACCCGCGGCTGAGGAAGCTTCCGTTTCATAAAATTTTTACCTATTCTCATTTCTCAGTTTCCGGAAGCGGTACTGGAATTAACCACGTGTAATTGTCATGCGGATAAACTAAATATGTAAGTTTGGATGGTGTATGCTGATGTACCTTAAGTCAGCAATAAACATGAAGAGAATGACTGTTGTTTTGTCACGTGTGATTGTCGACCAATTTTGAATAATATATATTTATTTTAATAAAAGATAATGAAAATCCCTCGGATTTAAGTTGACAGCTAATTTTGGTTCATTTGACTTTTTGCTTTTGAACGTAAAAACTTGGGAAACGTTGTTAATCGTAACAGTAAAGTATATCTTCAATAAAAATTATGAGCCAATTTTAATCTCTTAAAAAAAATTAATTTGTGGTTTTTCTGAAATTGAAAATAGATTTAATTAGTCAAAACTATGATTCTTCTAAAATTTAAAAAAATAATTATATTAGTCCCTCGAAAGGACTAATATAGGTCTATTTTGAATTTTAGAACTATCACGAGTCAATTTTTTTTTTTAAGAAATTAAATTGGGTCCAATAATTTTTGTTGAGGACCTAAAAGTACCGTAAATAAAGCATTTATTATAAAAAATTTATATTTTAAAAAATAATATTGAGTGTAAATTAATTTAAATTTTAAGATATAAAAATTGAGAAAGGTTATATTTACAAATCTTTTCGCTTACAAACTCTTACAATCAAATTTTACTTGTTGATTTTCCTTAATTTGATGATTATAATTTATTAAAAATTAATATTAATTAATTAGTATAATTCAATAAATTATAATTATTAGATTGACGAAAATCGACCGTTAAGATTTAATTATAAGAATTTGTAAGAATTTTTTTTTATAAATATAACGTTCCTTTGTAAAAATATTTTTGAAATCTCAAAAGTATAAGTGGGTACCAATAATGATATTTTGAGTTTAATTTCAAATGATAATTTTAGCATTGATGTCTTATTTTTTTTGGAGAAACTCAGGAAATTAATAACAATGAAAAAAAAAAAAAAACTAGGCGCTGTTCTGAGTGTTCTCTCTATGGCATCATGCATTGTTGATCTCTTTTCAATTGCGACAAAAGTTAACTATTACATATTTTAAATAAAAGATATTAAATAAGAGATTCTATTTAATATAAATTATATACGACAGTCCAACCAAGGTAAATACAATACACAAAAGAGAAAGGAATCACAACTTCGCAATATTATGACTATTAATTTTGTAAATATACTTCCAAATTTATATTCAACGATTCAACTTGGATTCAAAACGGGCTTTATTTTTTATGACGTTATTCGTCAGAACACATTGACTAACATTTTATTCGACTGCGAATTAACCAACGGTATTAATATAATATAATATAATATAATATAATATAATGTCATGCACAAATCTAAGGGCACTTGTGTTGACCACCATGGGTAGTCAAGTTCGCATAACAGGGACACACATCTTCGTTTCCAGCAGTGCCTGGTGGTACGCAATTGCATCTTCTACAACAACTCCCACATGCTCTTTGGCATAAGTTTGGACGAGATGATAAACGGCACCTCGCAGCACATGCTCCATTGCAATCTGCAATTGTATATATACTTTATGTTCATAATTCAAAATTAATTGACGTAATAATTGTATATATGAAATTGTTTTTGCAGTTTAGTACCTATCTGCGGAAGAACAGTACCCTGTGTTGGTGCGTATGCCTGCGGTTCCATAAAAGTATGAATAAATTAGTTAATTAAATAGATGCTCATTTAAAAAAGAAAGAAGTTAACACTAACTCGGTTCATGGGAACCATAAAGAACAAGAAACAGAGTACGGGTGTCAGGTAATTAATGAATGACTAATCACTAAAATAAATATATATAGAAATTAAGAAGCAGAGTATTGAATTATATATACCGGTTGATCAGCATCAACGAAATGAAGAAGGAGAAGTGAAGCAAGAAGAAGAAGGGAAACAACTAGAAGCTTAGAGAAAGCCATGGGTATATATAGGTATATGCTAGAGGAAAAGGGAGCTTGAAGCTAGATGTATATTCTTAATGGGAAAGTTTATTGGCAATTGCGAGGAATGAAAAACAGGAAGAGCTCGTATTTATAGTTGATCGTCGAGAGTTCTACGAAGTGTGTACACAAGTTGGCAACCACTTAGTATGGGTAGATTTTTTTTTAAATTATAGGAATATGAAAGTGGGACATTGGGATGTGGTGCATACACGGAAGAGACCTGAATAGCAAAGATGATATTAATTACTATGGAGGGAAACTTGGTAATGAAAATTGAAGTGGGTTCTTGGAAGCATGGGAACCAGATGTATTAAGTGCTATTAATTGGTGGGTGAAGTATCCAGATGGCAGCCTATGAAGGATAAACAGCTAATGGTTTTCTTTGTTTTTATTACAATGATACCCTCACTCACAACCCCACGAGTCTTATCTTGATTTGACTCTCGAGTCGAACACATAATTGAGCTTATATTTTAAGGGCATCATGACGAGTCGATTCAGGATAACACTAGTAAAAAATTTATTTACTTAAAAACAATAGGGCATTAATTAAAAATGAGTTTTATAAGAGTTATGTTGTAGAAAAAAGTAATTGTATAACATTATAGAGATTCGTTTTGCGTGCTGTAATTTTTTTTTTCTTCAAAAAGTGTGGATCCCACAAAATATTGTATGTGTAAGAAAATTTGTTGTGTCATGTTAAATGACAAATGCAAACCTCATAAAAGTTATTCAAAACAAAATACTTTTACGAGTGTGACAATATGACAGTTTTGTGCTATTATTTTGGCTGTAATTAACTGGTGCGGGTGAGTCTGCCCTATGCCATTTTAATGATTCGTTTAATTGATTTGCAAGCGTAATTAAGTTGCTAAGTGTCCGTGACCTACTCAAGGAGGGTCAAATTTCCGGTACATATTGCATTATTAGGAACGGGGAGAAAGAGTTCATGAAACGGAACACTACAAGTGCCGAATATTATTAAAACAGCACAAAAGTTTGCTAAGTGTCTATCAGTCAACTTTGTGCTTCGGGAGACGGTGATATGTGATAGAGAAGGAAGAGGAACTATTAAAAGTGTTTGTAATTTTAAATAATATAATTTATGTTATTTTATTCTCACAAAGAGATGATACTTACATTTTTATATTGTTTTGTTCACTCTTTCTTCTTCTTTATTTATTTTGTTCTGTCACTTAAAATGACACAACTTTATATACTTTAAGATGATAGATATCTTCTCTTAGATTGACAAAAGAATTTCTGAACCCAACCTTGACAGCTGTATGCTGCGGCACCCCAGCTGTAATATGCTAATATTTCTCTATCAGAAATTATCATTTATCACATACCATTTTCCTACTAAAAATAGAAAAGAAAATTAAAGAAACCATCATGTTAATTATCTAAATGTTTCTAAAGAAAGTTGATCAACCAATGAATATCTATAGCAAGAATTGACCTCAAAATTTTATCATCGATGCTATTTGATCATATTTGTTAAGCCAAATTTTATTGACATGTAACTATAAGAATAATAGCTAAATTTCTCATAATAAAAAGAGAGTAATAACTAAATATGTATCCGATTGTATTATAACAGTAATAACAATACGTAATTTTATATAATATTTCTAATGTGATAATGTATTAATGTGTGTTACATTTATATAGTTTGAGAGAAAAATATTTAGAAGTGCTTGAAATATTATACCAAAAATATTAGATTTGGAATGCTTATCATGTTAACTTTAGCTTAGAAAAACCTCAAAGATAATATAAGTTATTGGACTCCAGCCTATAAATAATCATACTTTCATCTATTTAGTTTGTATGTGAACATATTATTAAACTATATTATTAATATATCTAACATATAAGGGTAAAGTGTGTGTCATTTTAAATGATGTAAAGTCGTGTCATTTTAAGAGAAAGAAAGAGATAGATAAATGTGGAGAGAGAGTTGACAAAAAAAATTAAGGTGCAGGTCCCACCTTTCTATGAAAGTGAAATAATATAAGTTGTGTCATTTAAAAGGAAAAATATTTTTTCCAACATATAACACTCGGAATGAATGTATGTTTCGTTGGAAAGCCATTTGAATAAGTGAAAGGCTCTGGTCAAAGGAGACAAACAAAAGTTGTGCACTGGAAATGGGATTCCATTTTGTATCCTGGTTCGTGAGGTGCGGGGCAATCATATAAATATATGTAAAAATAAAAATAAAAAAGTGAGTAATAAATAAAGAATATGCCCAAAAAGTAAAGAAGTGAATGATACATAAAAAAAAAAAAAAAGTATTGTCAGAAAAGTACATATTTTAGATAAATATATGCATCATGAATCATTTAATAAAGGAATTCATATTACAATTGAAGAAGTCTGGTTTAAAGAAAGGTGTGGAAAGCACATAGAATCCAAGAAGCAGAAGCATGGTGAGCAATAGCTTTGAAATAAATAACAAATTTTTTATGTACAAAAAATGGGAAATATATTTTTCATATTATATATGATAATTTGTCTCATGCGACACGTAAAAAAATAGATGAGACTCATTAATAAAATGAAAAAAAAAAAACAATCTCATTTATTTTTTGTATTACATTAGATATTTGTCTTATACAATATAAAAAACATATTTCTCATAAAAAATAACTATATAGATTGTTCAAAAGCAATCCTCATAAAAAAAAAACAATCAAATCGTACTTTTCTTCTGTCTGTTACAAATTATTTCTTGAAGCTACATATACCGAAGGTAATCTGTATTTCCCTACTCCTACGCGGTTGACCCAAGTCCGTTAATCTAATGGCGGCAAAAATTTATATCAAACTTCTTCTCTCTATTTTTTTTCTTCAATTGTTTCAGTAATTTGTGATTAATTTGATTCAGAACGGATCTCGATATTAAGATTTTATATCCCTTTCATAGATAATATTGAAAATAATCGAACATATTTTTTTACTCCCACTTGCTCAATTCCCCATCATTTGCTTACATCAAACTTCTGTAGCTTTTCTTGGGATTTTTTACTCCCACTTGCTCAATTCCCTATCATTTGCTTACATCAAACTTCTGTAGCTTTTCTTGGCATCGTTTGGTACGCGATTTTTTTAAGATTTTCGGGAAATTGAAGGTGGTAATCTTAGTTACTTTCGTTTGGTACAAGGTTTTTGAAATTTTTCTGGAAATCTGATTTTGCCAAGATTTTATTTTTTATGTAATTTTTTTTGAAAATATCATCAAAAAATATCACCCTGGAGGTGATATTCTAGGATTTCCATGGCAAGAAAAAATTAAATATAATCAAATATAGTATCAAGAAAATCAACCCAACATTTATGAGAATATTTCAGTTTACCAAATAATTTTTTGATAATATTCTCATAAAATTTATTTTCCCATCATATTTTTAAAAATTATGATTCTCAAGTAAATAAAAAAATTTCTCTACTAAACACCACCTCAGAATTGATTTTTGAAGGAACGTCATACTTTAGGAATCTAAAAAAGAATGTTTAAAAGTTACCCACTCTTGAAGAAAGCCAAAGAACAAGTTTGTTTTGTTCGCCAAGAAGGCTACAGCCAGGACAAGCAAAAGGTCAGAAAGATGACAATGACTTAGTGATACACGTGGCATGACTAAGACACTGAATTTTCTTTTAAAGAGAGCAACGAAGTATGGATATATTTATAGCTAATTTAATTTAAAATAAATATCTTTTTTTGATCTTTAACAAGTTTCACGATACCCGTTTTAGTCCTTAGCAAATAAAAGGGTCCATCGTGGTCCGTAAAAAAATTAAAATGGACCCATTTAGTTGAAATCGTGGTCCCCCACAAATTCAAAAAAGACCCATATTAGTCCTCAAAAAGACTAAAATAGGTCTATTTTAAATTTTTTAGAGACCACGATGGGCTTTTTTAATTGCTAGGGACTGAAACGGAAATCGTAAAATTTGCTAAGGACCAAAAAAGATATGTATTCTTTAATTTAAAGTGAATCTTAATAATAACTCACTAAGATTTAAGAGAAAATACACTCTCGCTCACTTTAGAAACAGAGTTTTTTCAAAAAAAATTATCATCCCCCTCGCGAGATAACCTCAGCAAAGATTTCCTCGGATATAAGTGTTGACAATTTCTAATAGGAGTACTATACAAGGCCACAATCCATAATCTGCAGCAGTAGGTTGACGTCCTCGTCTACTTTAGGCGTTTAGTATGACAGATATTTTCTTTTAATTGATAAAAAAAAATGGTTGGAGATTTGGTTGGAATTTCTTGAGCCGGGTAAGTGACGAAAAAGCGTTTGGTTAGCCAAAATTTTGACGAAAAAGTTGGGTTCATTTTACCGATGCTATGTTTGGTTGATGATAAAATATTGATGGGAATGTGAATCGAAAATACCAAAATACCCTTTAATTTTCTGAATATTGATAAACCCTTGGTTTATAAGGTTTTAAAGCATGAATTAGCTTAATTTGTGTGATTAAATGAATGAAAAAAGAGGGTTAATGTTCTGGAAAGTCCTAAATACAAGTTCTGAAAGTTATGTTGAAAATTTACATTGTTCTTGTAAGAAAATGAATCTCAAGAAGCAAAAAAGAGAATGAAGAAGATTCTGAAGAAATTGGAGAATTCAAGTGTTGAGCGCTAAAACGTCCAAATCAAACGTTTTAGCGCGCTGCTGCAGAATGAAGCCAAAAAGTGCTGGTGATGAGCGCTAAAACGGCCAAAGCAAACGTTTTAGCGCTTTCCTGTTCAAAAAGATTCGGGTCTCAAGCGCTAAAACGGTCAAGTCAAATGTTTTAACGCTCTAGTGTTTAATAAAATGTCAAAATTCCCTGGAAGTGTGCGCTTTAGCGGTCAGGATGAATGTTTTAGCGCTGAGGACAGTTAAAAGTAGTTGGGCATCCGTCAAGTTGAGCGCTAATAAGTCAATCCTGTGTTTATTATAAATAGGTAATTAACTAGTTTTCATTCTTTGATTTACCATTGGGTGACATCCAATCTTTTGACAGCTAATAAGTCAATTTTTTGGGAATAAGATTATTTGATTATCAGTATTTATGAGATAAACAATATAAAACTTGTAGGATATGTCACATTGATATGTTTCGGTACTTGGATATTAAAGACATTGGCTAGTGTATATAATTTATTAGAGAAATTATTAAAGTCAAGGGAATAAATAATTGATTGAGTAACAAAAGACTTATCAGTCAATTATTGATATTATACAAAGAGACAATGCATATTCATATATTATAAATATATTTTTAATCTTGGAGTTCAAGTTTAGGCTTTTAGTGGAATGACACCAAATTAGATAACCATTCGTTGATTATCAGGACCCATGATTAATAACAGATGGTAGATCCCTAAGCTAGCTTAAGACAACGGATGAGGTAGTTTTCAGTTAATGATGACTTGCGAGTTACATGGTCTTGAGTTTTAGACTCAAGTTTGTACCCAAAAGAGGAAGAGATGAGTGTGTATATGTAAAGGATCCAAGGGGAGGCAGTAGCTTTTCAAGTACTTCATATAGATGATATGCTCCTTATTGGAAATAACTTGGAGGTAATGTCAAACATAAAAAGTTGACTTAGTAAGCATTTTGACATGAAAGTCCTAGGAAAACCAATTATATTCTTGGTATAAAATTATTATGAGACTGAAAGAATAAGTTATTGGCATCACCTTAGACTACTTACATTGACAAAACTCTTGCCAAAATTTAACATGGGAATTCTAAGTGGGGAATCATAACACTCAGACGTGGAATTTATCTTTCTAAGGAGAAATCCTCTAAAGACTCCTAAGAAGGAATGATGCATGGGTATGATACCCTTATGCTTGGGCAATAAGTAGTCTCATGCATACCATGTTGGGTATTAAACCAGACATCTGCCGCATAGTGGACTAGTAAGACGATACCATTCTTATCCTAGAGGAACACTAGATTGCTTAAGTATCTTTGGAGAACGAGAAATTATATGCTGGTTCATTATAATGGAAGTCTTTAAAAGTTGAGCTTTTACAGATTCAATTTTTTAAGTGGATATATACTCAAGAAAATTGACCTCGAGCTATCAGTTTTTCACTAAACTAAGATAACATTAGAAGTGGATCTTAAAGACTCGGTTACTAAGAGTTTTCCTGAACTTGTGTTTGAGAGGCATGTTATTTCTTTGGGTCTTAGAAGGATCACAAAATTGCATTAAGCGAGTGAGAGATATTGTGTTCATTGTGCTCTTGGAGAAAGACAATGAAATAATGTAATCATTTCCTGAATTTTACAAATGAGGTATTATTCATTGTTTTGTGCACACAATTTACAAACAGATATGACCCTGGGATGTAAGTTGATAGCTATTGGTCCATTTGCCTTCTAGGTTTTGCACGTAAATGTCGAGATTTTCAAGTGTGATGAAGTTTTATATTAGTTGAGTTATGGTGGAGGACCAACCCAATGTTTTAAGGTTTTCAGTTGAGGCATGGCCGGATTCATTTGATGTAGTTGGTGTATCTTAGCTTATTGATAATGCTCTCTCACCACGGCCCCCCTATCCCGTCTAACAGTAGTATCAGAGTTAGGTTATGTCTTAAGGTTTTGAATTAAGATGTGATGTCAAACTTATTAGATGTGATTTGTTTATGGGAAAAATATTTTTGCAGTTAATGCAGATAAATTATCTGCTTTTATTTCCAAAACGACGTCGTTTTGGTATTAAAATTTTAAAAAATTATAAATATAAAGACTATTATAACTCTGAAATAAATTAAAATTACAAAAATACCATGATTTCCGTCCCAAAACGACGTCGTATTGGCTTATTGCAGATAACTTATCTACAATAACTGCAGAAAAAGCGAACCCTTTCTTTATATAATCTAACCGATTTACGATAGTTCCTCACCATGAGTTCCACTGGCTCGCCTAGCCGTAAAGACATGTGATGTTCTGTTAATTGTAAAGAAAATATTATTATGCTAACTTATATATTTTTTAGGGTTTATCATCTATCATTTAACATGACCATAAAAATTTTCCTACACACACAACATTTTGTGGGGCCCGCAGCAAAAAAAAAAAAAAACTTCGGCACGCAAAACGAATCTCTATAACATAACACAATCACTTTTCCTACAACATAACTCTTATAAAACCCTATTTTTTAAAACAATTTTTTATATTGAGTGTACGTAAATTATATAAATTTCAGGATACAAAATTATTTTTGAAAAGCCTCAGAAGTATAAGTCGATACAAATAATGATATTTTGAGTTTAATTCCAAATGACAAATTAGCTTTCATCTCTTTTCAATCGCGACAAAAGTGAAATGTTAGATATTTTAAATAAAAGATATATATGATCAAATAAGAAATTCTTATTAATATAAGTGATATACACAGTACAACCTAGGTAAATATAAAATACAAAACAAAAGGAATCATTAAAAGATGGGGAAAACAAGTATCATGTTGTAGGAAAATTCTCTTGTCATTTTATAGAGACAATAAATGTGAGGTCCATCATGTTTAAAATAAAAAGAAAAGAAAGAAAAATATAACACAAATATCGATGTATGTGTAGAAAACTTTGCATTTATCATGCAACATGACAAATGCAAAACCGATATATATGATCAAATAAGAAATCTTATAAGTGATATACACAGTACAACCAATGTAAATATAAAATACAAAACAAAAGGAATCACAAATTCACAATATCATTTTTAATTTTGTAAATATACATCCCAAATTTTCACCCAATTATTCAACAGGTATTGAAAACAGGCTTTATTTTCGATGACGTTTCTTCAGAGCACAACATTGACCAACATTTTATGCGACAGCGAACCAAGCGTATTATTATAATATAATGTCATGCGTGAGTTGGTCACTTGGTTGTATTGAGGTCAAAGTCTAAGGGCACTTGTGTCGACCACCATGGGTAGTCAAGGTGGCATAGCAGGGACACACATCTTCATTGCCGGCAGTGCCTGGTGGTACGCAGTTGCATCGTCTACAACAAGTCCCACATGCTCTGTGGCATAGCTTTTGACGAGATGATAAACGGCACCTCGCAGCACATGCTCCATTACAATCTGAAATTATATACTTTATGTTCATAAATTCAAAATTAATTGAAGTAATAATTTGACATATGAAATCGTATTGGCAGTTTAATTAGTACCTATCTGCTGAAGAACAGTACCCTTTGCTGGTGCGAATGCCTGCGGTTCCTCAAAAGCATGAATAAGTTATTTAGTTCATTAGGTAGACGCACAGTTTAAAAGAAATAAATAAATAAAAAATTAACACTAACTCGGTTCATGGGAACCTTGCATAAAGAAAAAGAAACGGAGAACGCGTGGCAGGTAAGTAAGGAATCATTAATCAGTAATATATAGAAATTAAGAAGCAGAGTATTGATTTATACCCGTTGATCTGCATCAACAAGTTGAAGGAGGAGAAGTGATGCAAGAAAGGAAACAACTAGAAGCTTAGAGAGAGCCATGGCTATAGGTTCAAGCTATAGCAAAGGGGAGCTTGAAGGTTGATGTATTCTAAATGTTGATAGCGAAGAACGTGGAACGAGAAACAGGAAGAGCTCCTATTTATAGTTGATCGGTGAGAGTTGTATAACGAAGGGTCGGCAAAAACGAGTTGGCTCGTAATCCGTTAAGAATGAGTCGGGTTGGGTTGACAAAAATGAACTATCAATTCGATCCGAGCTTACTTGTGAAAAAACGAGCTAATTCACGGGTCAAATCAGCTAGCTCGCGGGTTAAGTGTTTTTTTTTTTATATAAAAAATTATAAAATATAATATATAAAAATGGACAAACCCTACACATGCTGTAATCGTTTTTTTTCCTTCTCTAAACTTAAGTCCCTAATTTTCTCATATCCTTGCCAATTTTATATTGTTAGGTTGTGCGGGCTCTGTTTGATCCAATTTCTTACCCGGTAGCAAGTGGTTCTGATTGTTTCTTGATGTTTATGCAAATTTCTTGTGAAGAAAATTCGAAACTAAAATATTTTTCTTTTATTTCTCAATTTTTACTCTGTACTTAAGCTGATGGAAGCCACATAGCTAGTGCATTAATACTACATGGTTATTTAAATAGGCTGAAAATGAGCTAACCCGCGAGCCAATTTTCGAGCTAACTCGCGAGATATTTTTTCAAACCAACCCACGAGTCATACTTTTGAGCCAACCCGCGAGCCAACCTTAACCCGATTCGGGTCGGTTGGGTTAGGTTTTCTGGCTCAATTTTTTTTTTTCGAGCCAACCTAATCCGGCTCATTTTTTTCGGGTTGAATGCGGGTTGGGTCAGGCCGCGTTGGCCCGTTTTGCCAACCCTAGTATGAAGTATGGATACAAGTTGGCAATTAATATTTAGTACGGGTAGACTTTTATAAACAATGGGGGAGAAAATTTTTAGTGATACAGAACCATTAACTATTGGGTGATTCCTTGAAAAATTTGGGATATAGATGAAAATATAAATGAAAGAAAAGAATAAAGTGGAAGAAATTTTTCATATTTCCACAAAGAAATCACTTAATTGTTGGTGGTCTTGCACCACTTAAATTTTTTTTACCATAGGGATTTATAAGTGGGACATTATGAAAAATTTCACATTTATAAGAAAATTTTTCACACTTCCACAAAAGGAACACCCAATTGTTGGTGGTCATGAGTAAGAGTGTGAATGGATCAGTCGATATAATAGGAGTCTATGATTTGGCCTATATCAGGTCAGACTTGACCTATTATATAATTAAATAAAACATGCTCAGTCATAAAAAAAAGTCAATTTAGAATGTAAACCATAAATATTTTTTATATGTCGGGTCTATAAGCCTACAAGCCGATCTATATCATATTATTCATTTTAAATAAAATAAATAAATTATTATTTTAATGATTTTTAATTATTAAATGTCTAATAAGTTAAAACAGACTAACAGGCATAGATAAAAAATTTGTTTTTTAAATATAGAATAAGTCAGACTTATAATTTGAATCTATTCAAAAATTAACAGATGGTACCAAACCTAAAATATTTTATAGAAACCTAAGCTAATCCAACTTATTTAGGCTTAGGACCACTAAATTTTTCTTCATCATAAGGATTTATAAGTGGGACATTCTGCTATGACTGGCGAGAGAAATTTGGTTTTGAAAGATAAACATCGCGTGGTTTTCTTTGTTTTTGTTACACTGGGACCCTCACTCACAACCTATGTTAATTTGTGTCGGGAGTAGAACACATAATTGGCCAAATCCAAGTTTTTTTTTTAATATATATATCAACACTACTTATATTTTTGGAGAAATTGGTAGAGGTGTAAATAGGTTAGGCTAGGTTAGACTTTGGCTTAAATAGGTCAGACTTGTGTAAAAAATATTGGATCTGGCTTGACCTGTATAAGCCCCAAATTATAAGTCTGACCTGACCTATATTTAAAAATTAAAAGCTTAGATTTAGGCTTATTAGTCTGTTTAAGCCTATTAAATATTCAATAATTAAAAGAATAATTAAAATAATATTACTTTATTATTCAAAATTATTGAAATAATAATTTTATTTATTTTAAATGAATAATATGATATAGGCCGACATAAAGGCTTATAGGCTCGACATGTACAAAAAAGCCTATAACCTGTTTTCTAAATAGGTTTTTTTAAAAGTCTAGACTTGTTTTATTTTTCTATTTGTAATAGACTAAGCTTGACCTAATATAGGCGAGGCTGTAGGCCGACCTAGTCCATTTACATCTCTACGAGTCAATCTTTTAGTATGCTACAAATTTTAACTCTTTAAATTAGTTATTGAATTAATTCTGAGTCGAGCTTAATCACAATCAAAGAAGCTTCTATTTTAACCCTTAAGAGTAGTTCAATTGGCAACTGAGCTCCCAAGGGTTTGCGTCAGAGGATGTGCCTCCCTCCTCGAATGGGGATTAGTCTCATCCTTCTTTCGGTAGCGAAGTTTAATGCACCCGTTGTTTCAATGTGGAGATACCTCTAGCCAGGTTATACCAAAAAATAAAAAGCTTCTATTTTCAGACCGGAATAACGAGTCAAGTGAGGGTAAGATCCATAAAAAAAAAATTATTTACTTAAACAGTTGGCCATTAGTTTAGACGGCTTTGTTCTTATCTTTTCAGGGGAGAAGAATTTTTTTTACAACCGACACAATTTTTGAATGAGTCCTACAATATACTAATTTAAAAAAATAAAAATTACACAAAAAATGGTGTGTCATTGGCATGAGAATAGCCTTCTGCAGTCGCAAAGCTATTCTCCCTAGTTTAAATTATGCAAAACAAGTTGCCGTTACGAGTGTGACAACATGACAGTGCGTGCTATTATTTTGTCCGTAACCGGTGTGGGTGAGAATGCCCTATGCCAATTGAAAGACTCGTTTAATTTGCCAGCGTATCATCATTTGAGCAAAAGGCAGCACTACCTAGTACTGTTCGTTTGCCATGCATCATTGCATCAGTTAATTTTTGTATATGTTCGTGGCCTACCCAAGGAGGGTCATATTGCGGATAAATGTTGCATTATTGTGGGGAGAAAGACTTCGTTAGTACACGGAAGTGTTCAATTTCAATTTGTTGTATGTATCATGAAAACTACAAGTGCTGAATTATTATTTTAACAGCCAAAATTTTCTAAGTGTCTATCCGTCAACTTTGGCTTTGGAAGATGGTGATACATGGAATTGGATGCAATAACTATGTGGAATAGGAAGAGGAACTATTAGCAGAAAGTTGGAAAAGGATTGTTGAAGCCATCCTTTACAGCTGTAAGCTGCTGTATATATCCCCAGCTGTAATATGCTAATATTTCTCTATGAATAATTATCATACATCACTTAACCCACCTACTCCAAAATATATTATATATTTTTTTTAAAAAAAATCATCATGTATCTATTTTATTTTTGTGGTGTTTCCTACATGTTATGTACTTATTTCTATGTTACAGTATCGGTATCTAGAAGAATAAATTAATAAATATCCCGATAAATTTCTTATTTTTCATTAATTATTTGAATGTTTTTATAAACAAAGGGCCCGTTTGGACAAGTTTTTTCTTCTTCAAAAGTTGTTTTTTTCAAGAAAAAAAAAATACTTCTCATTTTTAGTTTGTTTGGATGTCTACTTTTAAAAAAAGCAGAAGACACAAAAAGTCAAAAACCTACTTTTTCCATAAGCTAAAAATTTTAACTTCTAAGAAAAGCAAAAGTCAAAAGCCAAAAGCCAAATATCTTTTTTCAAAAACTAAATATTTTTATAAAAATATAAATAAAAATATAAATAACTTTAACTTTTATAAAAAGCACTTTTAAAATAAAAAAGAGATAAAAATTATTTTTTGAGAAGCCCAAACAAACGGGCTCAAAGTTGATCTACTAATGAATGTCTACAGCAATAAATGAACTCAAAATTTTATTGTAAATGCTAATTATTAATATTTTTTTTGGTATTGATATATTGAGGAATTGAACACAAAAAGCATACACCATGCATTTGGTAGAGATAGATCGAAACTTACTTGGGGAAGGTAGTAAAGCAAAACTTAATGAATTGGAATATAGATTGGCGGACGGTGTGCCTTAGAACGAAATGGAAAAAATCTATATGCATAGTGGATGGTTAGATCCATTGTTATTCCTATGTTTCAAATGGTCCATTTTTAGACTTTTTCCCTCTTCATCTCCCCCATTTCTTCTTTTCCCCTTCTTTTATCACTTATATATATATATATATATATCATTACTATTTTATTTTTTTATTTTTATTTTAATCTTTTTTCAACATTTTCGTATCTTTTATTTGAATTCATCTACCACCCACTCCAATTAATTTGGAATAAATGTGTTATTGATGTTGATATTGATATTGAGAAATTGAACACACAACCTATTACATAACAATCCACATTCTTCACCACTAAGCTAACCCTAGTGGCTTTATAAATGACAAATGCTAATTATTTGATCAGATTAGTTGAGCCAATCTTTATTTATATGTAAAATATTACTATAATTTTTTATCACTTTTTATTTGGGTTCTTTCACCGCTGACTCAGTTTGGAATCAAAATAACGTTTATATTAAAGTTAATGTAAAATATTATTATATAATACAGAATGACAACTGAAGATGTCTCGAATTGTATTACATGCGATTATATATAACATTTTTAATGCGCTATTGATCATATGGGTGTTCGACTGTTTGTTATATTCATATATATATGACTAATTGTTAGCTGGCGAGAGTGCTGCTATGAAACAAAACAGGTTAGAGACAACCTCTAGCCATCGAATATTAAATGCACGATATTGATTTTGTTGGATACAATTGCGTCTCAACCAGTTCCGTATATGATTTTATGTTATTGTGAATGGTTGTATGCAACGGCCGAGCCAAAAAAAAAAAAAAAAATTTAAAGGAGGAAATTATAGTATAAATTTTTCCTTTGAAATTATAATTATTTATATAATAAAAAATAGAAATGAAGCTTACAATTAAATATTAATTTTTGTAGATTTTAAAGCGGAACAAACATTAAATATATGATCAAAAATTAAAAACAATACTCACTTCTATCCCCCCTTCCGCTCCACCGCTACGGTATGTTTAGTTGGAAAGCCATTTGAATAAGTGAAAGGCTATGGCCTATGTAGAGAAACAAAGTTGTGCTTTGGAGATGGAATATTGAAATTCCATTAATTCGTATGTTGATTGGTGTGTTGCGGAGGAATCATACAAATATATGTTTAAAAAGGTGAATAATAGATAATAAATTAAGAATATGCAAAAAGAGAAGTGAATAATACGTTACAAAGAAAAGGTACGTAGTGCCTGTAAAGTGCATCTTTAATACAAATATATGCCTAATCAATCAGTTAAAACATGGGGTTATCACTTTTTATGCAACAGCAAAATTCTCTCAAAATTCTCTTCTCCAGTTGCTGCGACAAAATTATGATGAGTCCCCTCATGAAAAAAAGAAAAAAGAAAAGAAAAAAGCATGATCGATTTCGCCAATATTTCGTAGTACAATTGGAGAAGTCTGATTCATGATAAGGCGTACAAATGACCTGGTTAGGGATGACAATATTTCGCCAACACAACTCCAAGATGATATGGTATTTTTGTTATTCGTTTTAGTCCGTATTTTGTGTGTGTGTGTGTTAATCCGGATTTATATCGATCTTAATAGTGATTTATAAAAAATATGTCTTGTTTGTGTCAATCTGTTTAAATTAAATCATTAAATAATTATATATTATATTTGTAATCACAACCTGTGTAGTAAAATTAACGGATTATTCACAACTTGTGTAGTATATTCGTGTCAAGGTTTAAACACGAATAATATTGTATCATGCTCGTGCTAAGGATATTCGTATTTATGTCAAATTTATGTCAATTCAAATACAACCCACCAACCCGAATTGTTACCCTAAATCTGGTATACAAATTGGGTTTTATTAGTCTCATTTTACATAAGATAATTATCTTATGTTATAAATAGAAAATAGGTGAGTCTCATCATTACAAAAAAAAAAAAGAGAAAAAAATGAAGTGCGAAAATCGAAGTGAGAAAATATGAGAGAAGTTATCTTATGTGAAAGAAGAATAATATTTTTTATACAATTATCACAGGCTTGGAGATCAATAGGTTCGATATACAATAACAAATTTTATAGGTATAAAAAATGAGTTTATAGATTTAAAAAAAAAAATGAAAACAGCTTCAGAGAAAAGAAATCACACCATACTTAATTTTTCTTCAGTAAATTTCTTCTTTTTATTTTTTGATACATTGACATGTACATTTTTCCTTTTACAAATTTTTAAAATAGAAACTTCTTATTAAAAATACTCAAATATACTTGATATCTGTAAAGATATCGTTTAAATATAAATATAACATGAATTATGTAATTTTTGTATTCTTCGAGAGACGGATGCTTTGAGAATATTAAAAAAGAAGCATGAGTCCAATACTGTATAAGTCCATCTAATTATATAATTTCGGTTCGGTAATGCTTTCTGTGAAATAAAAGTTTTCTGCCTTCAGTTATGCTGTATTATTGGCATATATTAATGAAGAGAAAAGATTTGTTTACAAATTTGTTTTGTAAATTATACTAAGTCTAAGTCTAACCAGTCATAAATTCATTGAAGTACGAGTGGTCAAATATAATATAATTTGTAATTCCTGCTGAGACATCACTATTCATTTTAACTTCTGCCCCATTACATGCATCAGCTAGGAAGAAAATATATAAAGCGCGCGTCTATCATCATCTTGGACTGATGAAAAGATTACTTCTTGGTAAAGTTGAGAAAGATGACCAGAACTTGAAGATAACCGGTATTGCAGACCTAGGTTGGGTCACATGTCGAGATTTTGAATTTTAATTTCCTTTTTTAGTCAAGTAAATTATTATTTGTCTTTTAGTTCAATATTTATAGTAGGAGTAAATATTATTTTAAGTCCCTAACAAAAAATGTGGTTCCTATTTTAGTCCTTTACCAAAAATTAGTTTCGAGGAGGTCCCTAAAAAATTCAAAGTAGATCAATTTAATTAAAATCGTGATCCTTCAAAAATTCAAAAAAGACCTACATGAATATCAAAATCACTAAAATAGGTCCACTTTAAATTTCATAGGGACCATATGACTCTTTTTTTATAATGGACTAAAGTGGGGACCAAATTTTTTGTTAGGGACCAAAAATGATATTTATTCTTATATTAGGTAGCAACGTACATAAATGATTAAAACAACATAGCAATGCAAATTGATTAGAGAGAAAACTTATTCTTTCTCCCCTGTCACATACCCATTCCCATGATTTCTTCATCATTTGTTATGGAAACAACTAGATTATGAGCGGGTTCAAGCGTTAATTTAATTTTTTTTTACAAAAACAAAATTCAAGGACGCTGCTCCCGAACTCCCGCTATTAAATGTGCGAACATAGAAAAATTTTCCTGATATAATCAAGAGTAAGTCCTACGGTAGCACAAAGTTTTCGGTACATCCATCTAATAAAATTCACACACAAGCGTAAACATGTTTTCACGTCAGTGAGAGAAGAGAAAAAAAGTAGAAGAAGAAATATGATTTACTTATTAAATATAAGTGTTTTATTTTAAATGACAGCAATACCCATCACTGGGTCTGGGTGTTTCTATCCACTAAAAATATTTCGGTTAAGAGAATGATGAGGGATCATTTGTCTTCAAAGTATTTATTGTTTGTTTAATTTGAAGTGTCTTATAATATGAAAAGGGATTAATTGGTTTGCATTAGTCAAAGTCAGAGGCAAATTCACTCTTACACCACTCGATCAATAATTTTTTACTAAATCATTTTATTTCAAATTCCATCATTGTTATCGAATAAATTATGTTTATAAATATTTTATCATCAATTTAAAATTATTTGATATTTCATTAATATAAATCAAACTTAATATAATATTTACATTTAAAATATGCGAAAATAGAAATTATTTGATTATATTATTATTATTATTGTCATGCAATCAATTATATCTTAACACGTACACCTCAACAGCAAGGCACATAAATGTTTTTATTATGTATCTTAACATTTATTTATTTATTTTTTTACAAAATTTGTTATAGTCAACGAAGGTAAAAAAAGAAAATGAAAAATAGATACAATTCAACAATTTGTAGAAACAAAGTCATGTACTGTGTAAATTACTAAAAGGCCGTAAGATTATTAAAGATTTACACTCGCATAAACCAATCCCTTCTTTTATTAATATTAACTCACTAAGATTTAAGAGTAAGTACATTCTTACTTATGCACTTTAAAAAAGATATTTTTAAAAGAATTTATCATATCCCCTCCTAACATTGCAACACAATATGCATCGCTGCATCGAAGAAGCACCCAATAAATTCCCATCATCATGCGATCAAAGAGTTTAGGGTCCGTTTGATTTGTTAAAAAATAGGGATTAGACAACATAAAAGTTATTGTTTCATGTTTCATTTAAAGGAAAGATACGAGACACCACAAAATAAGTAGTGAAAGGCAGATAAATATAAAAAAAAATTCCCTCACAAAACCATCGGTCAACTTTGTATCTCACAGCACAAATTGTCAAATATAATTCTCTTCTAAAATTTCTTTTTTGCATTACCAATCAGTGCAACCTCTCCTACTTCCATCATCAACCCCTTTCAAATCACTTGTATTACAACAAGAATTATAACAAGCGGGATTTGGCAACATATGAAAATACATTTAATTAAAAGTGTAAAGATAAAAGTTATACTTTCAAATCCAAATAAGTTTATATGAATAAATCAAAAATTAATACTTTATTAAAGTTATATACATATTCAACTGAGGATTTACTTAGACAAAGCAACAACATATCAATCATGGGCTCTCCGTCTGATTAGGTTTTCCACTTGTAAATATAATGTAATTACAATACTAAACTCACTGCCTGAAAATATAATCATAACAACTGAAAATATAACCATAACAATGTTAGGCTTTCCGCCTGCAATAAATTAACTAGTACACAAGATTGTTCCAGTTTAATGAGTGATTTTAAATTTGAATCTTAGGTACACAATTTCTCCACTACCGCTGTTTATTCACGTGTTATGGTTTACAAATTTTGGATAATATATATTTAATGGTATGTAATAACAATTGTTTTTTTTTTTTAAAATAAAAACGCCTAAAAATCCCTCCTCCTATTGAAGAGATATGACCCTCGGATGTAAGTTGACAGCTAATTTTGGTCCATATGACTTCCTGATTTTGCATGTAACAACTTGCGAAACAAGGTTAATTGTAAAGAAAGCATCTATTATAACAATTTCTATTTGAATTCTAGGATATAAAATTATTTTTGAAGTCTCAAAAGTATAAGTGGGCACCAATAATGATATTTTGAGTATGATAATTTAGCAATTATCTCTTTTCAATTGCGACGAAATTAAAATATTAGATATTTTAAATAAAAGTTATCAAATAAGAAATTCTTATTAATATAAATGATATACGACAGTACAACCAAGTTAAATACAATATACAAAAGAGAAAGGAATGACAAGTTAAAAATATGATTATTAATTTCATAAATACACTTCCAAATTAACCCACAATGATTCAAACACGTTTGAAAACGGGCTTTATTTTCCTTGACGTTATTCTTCAGATCATATATTAACCAACAGTTTATGCGACAAGCATATTATTATAACATAATACGTCATGCATGGTTTCGTGGTATGGAACTCCAAGTCTAAGGACATTTGCGTCTCCCACCATGGGTAGTCAAGCTTGCATAACAGGGACACTTTTCTTGGTTTCCAGCAGTGCCTGGTGGTACGCAATTGCAGCGTCTACAACAACTCCCACATGCTCTGTGGCACATGTTTTGACGAGATGCTAAACGGCACCTCGCAGCACATGCTCCCTTACAATCTGAAATTATATACTTTTATGTTCATATATAAATTCAAAATTAATTGAAGATATAATTGTACTATTTGCAGTTTAGTACCTATCTGCTTCAGGACAGAACCCTGTGGTTGTGCCAATGCCTGCGGTTCCTCGAAAGCATATTTAGATAAGTTAATTAGGTAGATGCTTAGTAAAAAAAAAGAGTAAAGAAATGAACACTAACGCATAAAGAACGAGAAACAGAGAACGCGTGGCAAGTAAGTAATGAATCACTAATCACTAAAATAAATATATAGAAATTAAGAAGCAGGATATTGAATTATACCGGTTGATAAGCTTCAACAAGATGAAAGAGGAGAAGTGATGCAAGAAGGGAAGAAACTAGAAGCTTAGAGAGAGCCATGTGTATAGGAAAGGGGAGTTTGAAGATAGCTAGATGTAATCTTAATGGAAAGGTTTATAAAGTGCGTGGAATGACAAACAGGAAGAGCTCCTATTTATAGTTGATCGATGAGAGTTGTATGCTGTATGGACACAAGTAGGCAAGTACTTAGTAAAGGTAGATTTATATAAATTATAGGAATACGTAAGTGGGACATATTGTGATGTGGTGCATATATACGAGGAAGAGACCTGAGTCAAAAAGTTGGTATTATAGTGACTGAGGAAGGAAATTTGGTAATGAAAACTGCTGGGTGAAGTATCCAGAAGAGATAAAGTGCTATTACTTGGTGGATGAAGTATCCAGATGGCCGGCTTTTGAAGGATAGGCAGCGCGTGGTTTTCTTTGTTTTTATTATAATGATACCCTCGCTCACAAGTCACAACCCCACCAGTCTTATCTTAATTTGTCTCGGGTAGAAATTATAATTAATGCCCAAATCCAAGCTTATATTTTCTGACCTTAATAACCAAGTTAAGAAATGGGTTATTTAATGGTTTTATATTATAAAACTCTAATACACACTTCTTCAAAAGTCTTTTAGACTTGAAACATGTTTTTTTTTTTTTTTTTTCTCATTCTACCTTATCTTATTTAATTGCATAGAAGATGAGGTGCTTAAGGCATTAGGATTAGTACAGTGACGAGGGGTTTTGATAATTTGTATGAGGTCATAACTCATAAGTTCAAACATCAGTTCCACCATTGTATTAAAACAAAAACAAAAAAAGGTGAAAAGGTGCCATAAATTCGTGATTCGGTGGTCTCGTTTAATTTGCCATGCATCATTGCATCAGTTAATTTATGTATATGTTCGTGCCCTACCCAAGGAGGGTCATATTGCACGTAAATGTTGCGTTATTGGGACGGGGAGAAAGAGTGTATGAATACACGGAAGCGTCCAATTTGTTATATGTATCCCCAAAACTCAAGTGTTGAATTATTATTTTAACAGCAAAATATTGGCTAAGTGTCTAATCCGTCCACTTTGGCTTTGGAAGATGGAGATATATAGAATTGGATGCAATAACTGTGTGGAGTAGGAAACAGAGAGATGGAAAAGGATTGCTGAAGCTAACGTTGACAGCTGTAAGGTGCCGTAGCCCAGCTGTAATATGCGAATATTTCTCTATCAAAAATTGTCATGTATCGCTAGTTAACCCACAAACTCCAAAATAAAAATAAAAATAATAAAAAATTCATGTTTCTATTTTAATTTTATTGTGTTTCCAACATGTTATGTACTTTTTTTTTGTGTCTCGAAATGTATTACAAGAATAATAATTATATGTAATTTTATATAATATTGATCATATATATATATATGTGTGTTTGTTATATTTATATAACTAATTATAAAGACCCAGCTGGCTAGAGTGCTGGTATGAAATTAAACAGATTAGAGAGAGTTCTAGCCATTGAATATTATATATATACTCAGGATATTAATTTTGTTGGATATAATTGCGTCCAAACAGTTCCATATATGATTTCATGTTATTGTGAATGGTTGTATATATGTTAATTGGTTGAAAAGCCATTTGAATAAGTGAAAGGCTATGGCCAAAGCAGAGAAAGCAAAGTTTTGCTTTGGAAATGGAATTCCATTTCGTATCTTTATTCGCGTGGTGCATGCGGGGTAATCATATACATATATGTTAAAAAAATGTGAATGATACATAACAAAGAGAAAGTGGTGTATGTAAAGTACATCTTTTATATAAATATATGCATAATCAATCATTTAAAAGAATTCATAGTACAATCAGAAAGTCTAAGTCTGATATAAGATAACTATCGGACTTCCTCCTTCAATGTTAAGTCCAAGTTCATTGAGAGATTTTTTAAAAACCCTAAACTCTAGATTCCACCTCCTCTATATATATTCATTAGTTGAGGGTGAAGGCTAGGTTAGACTGATAGAGAAAATTATTTGAGAGATTTGTAAGCAAAACTTTGAGCATTGTATTTGAGATATCTCTAGAGAGAGTTTGAAAGAAACATCTCTAGGTAGTTTGATTATCACCATTATTGGAGAGGGTGTGTTAACCACCACATTGATGAATCTTGATTCTTTGTATCCATTATTTTCATAGTGGACGTTTGATCTGGACTAGGTCCCGTGGTTTCTACTTCTTCATTGGAGAAGGTTTTTCTACGTTAAAATTTGCTTGTGTTCTCTTTCTCTCTCTCCCCTTTGTGTTTTTGTTTTTTCGCTGCTGCCCGACCTGGTGAAGTTCAGACCAAGGTAAGATTGCCGAGATCCGAGATTCAGGATCTTGTTGACTGACTTCCGCAAAAGACTTCTTAGCCGAGTTGAGGGAACCGAGTTCCCAACAATAAGGAGGGCAAAGAATATAGTATATACAACTAGCACAAGCTTGGAGATCAAGAGCTTTGAGATACAATAACAAATTTTAAAGGTATAAAAAATGGGCTTTACTAATCTCCATCAATAGGAGACAAGATATCTCCTACCACTCTCACAATCATGTGGTGGGACCCACATAGTTATAAAATAAAAAAATAAAAGAAAACCAAGCTCAAGAATCGATGTCTCTGTTGAAAAATAAACCATCTCATGTGGCTGAAGATTAGTTTTTCCCATAAAATATAACATTATAGATTGTTACAACCAAAAGAAAAAAAAGCACATCATACTTTTTCTTCTGTAAATTTATTTTTTTAGAAATAAAGTAGAGACTTATTAAAAATACTTAAATTAATAGTTGATTTGTGTGAAGATATTTTTTAAATATAAATATATTTTTAACATGACATATATAATTTTTGTTTTTGTCATTAGGTGATTTAGTGTTTAAAATGAATATTAAAAAAAAATGCCTTACGGACCAAGAGGTGGATGCTTGAGAATATTAAAAAAGAAGCATGAATCCTATACAGTGTAAATGCTGACAACTATTATATAATTTGTTCGTTAATGTTTCCGGTGAAAGAGATATCTAGCCTCCAATACTGTTGTATTGTTGGAGCATAAAATGAAGGGTTTTATTTAGACAAAAATGAAGGGGTTTGAATCAATCATGTTGCTGGAAACAAATTTGAGTTTCTGCAAATAAAAAAAAATATATATATATATATATATATATATAACTATATATTATTAATAGTATATAATTATAATATTAAAAATTATTTTTTCTCTCTTCTCAAAAGGCCTGTTAGCTTATGTGGTAAAAAGAGAAAAAATAATTTTAATATTATAACTATATACTACCCGTAATACATAATTATAGTTTATAGCATGTCCAGATTTTTCTTCCTACAATATAATTATATTTTCCTAAAATAAATATTGTTATTACTCTCGAGACATGCACTATTCATTTTAGCTCCTGCCATTTTTTTTTTTTGGAAATAATAGAAAATTAAAACAAAAACACAACAAAAAGAAACTAGGCACAAAGCCTAGACCAGTGAACACTTATAGTGTCACCATACAGACTATCAATACAACCTGACGGTGGACAATCAAATTCCTGAATTACCCAAGAGAAACCATAAGAGTAAGAGGCTAGAAAGTCCGCTACTCTATTTCCTTCACGGTGAATGTGAGACATATAAATCTGCCAATCTCGCTGCATCAAATTTCGAATACGATTCACCAAATTAGCCGCAGGGTAATCATGGTGGCACCCATTTGTAATGAGCTGTTGAGCTGAAAGAGAATCTCCTTCGAGCCAAACTTGCCTAAAACCTCTACCCCAAGCTAGCTCCAAACCAACCAAGCAAGCCCATAACTCAGCATGCAAAAATGTACCTGAGCCTAAATTTTTACAGAATCCGACGATCCAAGTTCCTGAGGCATCGCGAAAAACTCCTTCACACCCAGTCCTAGTACCATTAGCATCACATGCACCATCAACATTAAGCTTAACCCAATCCACTACAAAAAAATGTGTTATTTGTGGAGGTTATTTATTGGAATTCATTAAAACCTCCAAAAAAGAATTTAGATTGTGGCACTTTTAATGAACGCCACATCAAAGACGAAGAAGAAGGTTTTAATGAAACCGAAGCGGGTCTTTCGGAATGGGAACCCAATTACATCAGCTTGAAAAAAAAAGATATCAAGTGTTTTTATTTTTTATTTTTGGATAGAAGATATCAAGTGTTTATTAATTAAAATACGAATATCAAATTTACAAAAAAAAAAAAATACGAATATCAATACCTTCGACTGATCAAAGATTATTGCCTGAAGTTACACATACCGAAAGTTAATCTGAATTTCCGTAAAGATAAAGCAAAAGGTAAGAAAGATGACATGAACTTAGGGAGATGCATTTGCCAGATTAAGACAATGAATTTGTTTTCAATGTGGCCAATTAAGGGTGTATTTTTTGTTCGTTTATTAGTATTATAATAAGATATATAAGATATTAGTTGTTTTACATCCGTTCAACTCAGTCCAAGCCAAATTCACTCTTATTCCATTTAATAATTTCTTACTAAATAATTTTATACTCATTAAATAAATCATATTTATAAATATCACGTTAATTTAAAATTATTTAATATATCATTAGTATATGTTAAACTGAATATATTATGCACTTTTAAAATATATGAAAATAAAAATTATCGGATTATATTTTTAGGTATAAGTTATTTTGCCTACTCTTATTTTACCTATCCCTTTCAATATCATTAGATTAAAATCTCATCTAACGATGGAGATTTACGATATAAAATAAATTCTTTTACACCCTTTTTCTCTTCCGGTGCCTCTCATTCTTTCTCTTTCCTCTCCTTTCTCTTTCTTCAATGACATTTCAACATCAAAAATAGGTGCAAGCTTTTTTCTCAATTCATCCAACTCAGCTATTGTTACGAGCATTACATAAAAATGAAATGGGGTTTCAAGAAAAAATCAATCCAGATGCCCTATGTTATGGAACCAGGTAGGTCTGTTGTTGGGCGTAACATACAGAGAATAGAGATCCTTTCCCCACTTCAAGGTGAAAGATAAAAAGGAGATAAGTTGATTCTCTTAAAATTTCAACAGCAAAATAGAAACGTTACGGTTATCGGGGATTAATTCAAATAAAGGGTTATTCGTGGTTTTCTCTTTTTGTAATTTTGTGATTTATGTTGTGTTCAATTATATCATATTCAAGAGATTTTAATAATTATACTCATCCAGCAGAACTATCATGCCATTAATCATTGCACGAATTTAGATTCAAATATAAATTCAAGTTGTAAATTATGCAAATCGATAGAAAGAAATAGGAGGAGAGAGAAAGAGTGTGGGAGATAGTCAGGAGAAAAAAAAGGGAAAAATGGTTTATTTTATTCTGTAAGTCGTTTTTCGGAAGAAAAGTGCAGGTACCGGTTCTGCTAGTCGGTATAAATTCGTGCCGAAAAAGTATCCCGGAAAATTAATGTAAGTGCATGATAATTACTAGAATAATATGTAGGACTTGTAAAATGAGTTTCAAGTCCAAATAATGAGAACTGGTGCTAGAAACCGGTACTGGCTTGGAAAAGCGCGTACCTGAAAGGTGCTCGGAAAATTATAAAAAAAATATGTAAATTCTTGGAAAAATGTGTAGTTTCAGAATCCAGAGTTTGGGATTAAAATGCTAAGTGTAGAAATTAAAGTTAATACTGTGTGTTAATTGGGTAAGTGGCTATAAATACCCTTATTAAGGGCACATTGCCCTAGATACCAGACTTCCTACGTGAGTTGTGTTGGTGGCTGACCAAAAACTCAGCCTTTGGGTTTTCTCCTTCTTTTCTTGAGGTTCAAGGCCTTTTCTTCCTTGATTCTTCACTTTTTCTCTTGTAAACACATTGGGTGAGTGTGAACAATCCTTGTGAGTGAGAAAGAGACTTCATTTCTGAGTTTGGCTTCTAGCTTGAGAGGGTGAGCTTGCTGTTTTCACGTTTTGGGAAGGAGGGAGCTTTCCTTAGGTGTTTTGGAGCTTCAAGGAGCTTCCTTGTTGTGTAAAAGAACCACCTTTGTGCACTATTTTCGTGTTCAGTGAGAGACAGAACCTTGGAGCTGTTGTGTGAGCTCCAAGAGCACCTTTTTTATGAGTTTGAGCTTTGGTAAGCCTCATCACCTTTGATCTTGAGTTCAAATGCTTAAAAATGAAAGCTTGATGCATTTTAAGGCTTAAAGATGATAACTTGTTGTTGAGTAATGTTGAACACACCTAGAAATACATGTTTAGGTGCTTTAAATCGGTAAAAACCCAACCTTGGAAGGATATCTTCACGAAATGTATTTTCTGCATTCTGTCGTGAAATATCCGGATATGTGCCCGATGAATATCCGGATATGTGATATCCGGATATGGGTTCTGAGTATCCGGATAATAGATATCCGGATATGGGATTCTGGATATCCGGATATTGCATATCCGGATATGTCCAGTGAGATATTCGGATATTGCATATCCGGATATGGTCCCGAGGAATATCCGGATATTCTGGGATTTTGTAAAACAGTAGTTGTGCTGTGTGTACAGTACGCTATTGGGGGGTTTGTGGACCCTAGATTGATGAAGTTGAACTTCTGTAATTAATGAACTAAGTCAGAATTAAGTGATTAAGGACTTATGGCTTGGTATGGAGCCTTGAGACGTAAAACGTAAGGAAAGGCGTTGTCTTTAAGTTATATGCTTGTGTTGCATTATTATTGATATAGTATTGGTCCATAACAGATTGTGAATCTGCTGTGTTTGGACTTTGAGCTGTGGACTCTTGGCTTTTGGAGTTAGCTTGCAAGGTAAGCTTTCGTGTCCTCGGTTTATCCATGTTGTGGTTCCACCATGTCCCATGGGGGTATAGTTTATGCATGTTGTGTACATGCTTTTGAATATTTGATATGTTGATTGAACTTTACATGTAATGGCTTTTAATATGCATGTGTTGTTTCATCTTGACGGGAAGCCTGAGTATGTAGCGCCATACAAGACGGTGTACCGGGATGAATGCAAGTGGTACTTGCACGGTGTGTAGGTGATAGACGTATACCTGCACTGTCTCTGGCCAGTAGATTAGTATTGACACACATGGCATGATTATCTGCTGCATTGCATTGTTTTTGAAATGATAAATGATAAACTGCTTTTGAACTTATATTGCACATGTAAGTGAGCTTGGGGTGGAAGATCCTTGAGGACTCACTGACTTACTGAGATTTCTAGATTAGAGATCTTACCCCACGTTTGGGGAATGCTTATTTCAGGATCAGGTAGTATGGGTACTGATGCCTCAGGCGGCAGGAGGCCGGAGCTTAGCTGATTATGTTTTACTGCTTTATGTTAGCATGACTGGATTTGGATGCTGTTTATGTTTTCCGCTATTTATGATATGTTGTTGTTGAGACTGATGTTGGGCATGTTGCCTTATTTGAGTGAGCATGGGGATTGTCCATGACACTTTATGTTAGTGCTTTTGATTTGGAGTTGTATAAACTATTAGATGGTCCGGTCTACGTGGTTGTAGTTCCGTGACTAGAGCCACACTTATATTATCTATGTTGTGAGGTATTTCAGTTAGCTGTTTTATTGCAATTACATACAGGCGATGTTTTATTAATTGATTATTAAGCAAGCTGGTAATGTTAATGACATCATAATTGAAAAGAAAAAGTAATTCCGCATTTTTAATTAAGCGCAGCTTAATACGATATTATGATAACATTGCCGGATATATACGGGGTGTTACAGATTGTATAACTGTTATATTTATGGGATGTGATATTCTACCTACCATTTTTTCTGCTTACCTTTATCTACCACTCTCCAACACCGTTAGATCAGAATCTCAAGAAGAGAGAGAAATATAAATGTGAGTTAAGATTCTGATATAATGGTTTTTTAGTATGGTAGGCAAAGGTAGGTAGAATAACATATCCCTATATTTATTTCCATATTTGTATGGTTATGATTCCCCATATTTAATAGGGGATAGGTTATTCTACCTACCATTTTTTTTGCCTACCTCTGCCTACCCACTCCAACACCATCAGATCAGAATCGCAAGAAGAGAGAGAAAGATAAATGTTAGTTAAGATTCTGATCTGATGGTGTTGAAGAGTGATAGGTAGAGGTAGGCAGAAAAAATGGTAGGTAGAATAACCTATTCCATTTAATAGTTTATATTTATTTCCACCTATGTATGGTAATGATTTTCCATATTTAATGCTTTCACATTAAATATGGGAAATCATAACCATACAAAGATGGAAATAAATATAACTGTTGGATCAACATAATCTATCTAACGGTAAAATTAATTAGTAGTAAGTAGTAATATTGATAGTAACCCTAATTGGTTGTTACAATATCCTATCCCTATATATATATACAGGGGAGGGTTATAATTACAAACTTTTTTTTATAAACGCTTACAAACTACACTATGTTCTCCCGGCAGAACATTAGGCTACACTATGTTCTCCGAAGAGTACATAGTGTAATTTGTAAAAAATTGTAAAAAAATTTTGTAAACGGATCCTTCCCCATATATATATATATATATATATATATATATATATATATATATATATATATATAGGGTTCGCTTTTTCTACAGTTACTGTAGATAAGTTATCTGCAGTAAGCTCAATACAACGTCGTTTTGGGCAGAAATCATGGTGTTTTTGTAATTTTAATTTATTTCAGGGTTATTATTGTTTTTATAATTATAATTTTCTAATCTTTTAATCCAAAAATGACGTCATTTTTGAAAGTATACTAGGTTACACTATGTACTTACTGGAGTACATAGTGTAATTTGTAAAAAAAATTTATAAATGAATCATTCCTCTATATCTATTATATATTTTTTTAAATAAATTTTATTACAGAATGTAAATTAATTTAAATTTTAGGATATAAAAATATTTTGATAATTCTAACAAGTAGAAGTGGCATGGACATGATTAAGGTAGTTAAAAATTGTTTACCAAAAAATAATAATAATTAAAAATTGAGTTTTTACTTAAAAACAGAAATGGAATAAAAAATTATAAAACTTAGAAGTAAAATCGTAAAAAAAATAAAAGCGGCTGAAATATTGATAAAAACGTTTTGATAAAAAAATCGTAAAAATACAGTTTAAAAATGATATTTAAATACTATATATGTCAAACAATGATATTTTGAGTTTAATTTTTAAGAATAATTTAGCATCCATCTCTTGTCAAACGTCAAATGTAAAATATTAGATATTTTAAAGAAAAGATATAAAATGAGAAATTCTTATTAATATATATATATATACCACAATACAACCAAGGTAAATGAAACACAAAAGAGAAAATAATCACAAATTCACAATACGATTATTAATTTTGTAATTACACTTCCAAATTTACACTCAATGAATCAACAGGGATTGAAGACGGGATTTATTTTCGATGACTTTATTCTGCAGAGCAAGTTGACCAACATGTTATAAGGTTGCGAACCAATATCGACCAACATGTTATAAGGTTGTGTGGAAGTCAAAGTCTAAGGGCACTTGTGTTGACCACCATGTGTAGTCAAACTGGCATAGCAGGGACACACTTCTTCATTGCCAGCAGTGCCTGGTGGTACGCAATTGCATCTTCTACAACAACTCCCACATGCTCTGTGGCATAGATTTGGACGAGATGATAAACGGCACCTCGCAGCACATGCTCCATTGCAATCTACAATTGTATACTTTATGTTCAATATTCAAAATTAATTGAAGTAATAATTGTACATATGAAATTGTCTTGGCAGTTTAGTACCTATCTGCTGAAGAACAGTACCCTGCGTTGGCGCGAATGCCTGCGATTCCACACAAGTATATATAAATTAGTTAATTAAATAGATGCTTAGTTATAAAAGAAAGAAATTAACACTAACTCGGTTCATGGGAACCATGCATAAAGAACCAAGAAACAGAGAACGCGTGCCAAGTATGTATAAATCACTAATATGTATATATTGAAATTAAGAAGGAGAATCTTGAATTATACCGGTTGATAAGCATCAACAACATGAAGAAGGAGAATTGAAGCAAGAAGGGAAGCAACTAGAAGCTTAGAGAGAGCCATGGGTATAGGGAAGGGGAGGTTGAAGATAGATGTATTCTTAATGGAAAAGTTGATAGCCAAGTGCGTGGAATGAGAAACAGGAAGAGCTCCTATTTATAGTTGATCGATGAGAGTTGTATGGAGTATGGAAACAAGTTGGCAACTACTTAGTAAGGATAGGTTTTTAAAAATTATATGAATATGTAAGTGGGATATTGTATTAGAGAATAATATAAATCATTAAAGAAGTCATCACCGAATATCTTAAGATTTTATGTTGAAGTAGTTCTTTACATTATATCAGAGTTTCATTGATTACAAGTTCACGAGTTCGATTCCTACTTATTGGTGGAACTAAAATAAGTGGTAAACAAATAAAAATTGAGTTTGTACGGTATCCATACTTTAAGCTCAAAGTACTTTTGTTTGTGGGAGATATGTTAGAGAAAAGATCTGAATAGGAAAGTTGATATTAGTGACTGGGAACGAAAATTTGGTAATGAAAACAGAAATGAGGTCTTGTAAGCATCCGGAACCAAAGGCTGACAAAGTGCCACTATTTGGTGGGTGAAGTATCCTGATTGCTGGTTTTGAAGGATAAGCAGTGCATGGTTTTCTTTTTTCGTTAAAATGGGACCCCATTAATGGTTATTTAGTAAATAATGAGTCAAGTGATGATTAGATTCGTAAGAAAAACATTATTTACTTAAACAGTTGGCCATTGATTACAAATTATGCAAAACAAGTTATTATTACGAGTGTGACATTATATTAGCAGTCTTGTTCTACTTTTCGGCTGTAACTGGTGCGGGTGAGTATGCTCTTTGCCAGTTGAAAGACTCGATTAATTTGCCAGCGTAAATTATGTATCATATCATTTGAGCTAAAGGCAGCGCTACCTAGTACAGTACGATTCCCATGCATCATTGCATATTTGCATCGGATAATTTATATATATGTTCGTGGCCTACCCAAGGAGAGCATTTTCAGTGGTACGGTTCATGGGATTTTCGGTCTGACAGTAGTATTATAACTATATATTTCGATAAGTATATAATTATTGTATTAAAATTGGTTTTTTTTTTCTTTCTCTAATACACATGCCAACCAATATGTGATCATCCTATTGGTGGGATGGATCTATGACGGGTGTATTGTAAAAATTTCCCCACCCAAGGTGAGTCATATAGCGGGTACATATTGCATTATTGGGAATGGGGAAAAAGAGTGGACGAATACATGCGGCGTTTGGCAATGAAGAAAATTTTTTTTATCCAAAAATCTCAATTTTTAAAAATTTGATTTTTACATCTAATTTACGATAATATCTAAAAATTATAAATTTAAAAAAATTTAGTTTATCAACAATCTTCAAAAATCCTGCGTACCAAACGAATCAGAGGTTCAACTTTTTCCTGTACACGGATAACTACAAGTGCTGAATTATTATTATTATTATTATTATTATTATTATTATTTTTTTTTTTTTTTGATAACATATTATTATTATTTTAACACCCAAATATTTGCTAAGTGCGTCAACTTTGGCTTTGGAAGATGGTGATATATGGGATTGGATACAATAATTATGGGGAGTAGGAAAAGGAACTATTAGCGGAAAGTAAGAAAAGGATTGCTAAATTGCCAACCTTGACAGCTGTTAGCTTCGGCAACCCAGCTGTAATATGCTAATGTTTCCCTGTGAAAAATTATCATGGATAACTTTTCCATCTACTCCAAAAAATAAATAATAATAAGAAGAAAACAATTAATAAATAAAAGAAAAAAGCCATCTTTATGAAAAAAAAGTTTGTCATTTAAAAAAATTTAAATTTTTATTATTTTAAATAAAATGACGTTATTTTGATACAAATTTAATAGTTTTTACATTCTCTATCTTCTATAATATTAAGAAGAAAAAAAGAGTAGAGGAAAGAGAATGTAAAAAATTAACAATTATGCATTAAAATAATGTTTTTCATTTAAAATAACACAAAATTTATCCTTTAAAATAATAAATATGTTTTCTTTATATTTTTGTATGGTATTTCCTACGTGTTGTATACTTTTTTTTTAAAAAAAAAAATTTATAGTATCTGTGTATCTAAAAGAATAAACAAATATGCACCACTAGGGTTAGCCTAGTGGTGTGGGGTGTGTGTGTTAGGAGTGTGTGTAGTGTAGGGTGTTGTGTTCAATTCCTTGTAACCTCTAAAAAAAAAAAAAGAATAAACAAATATCGCGATAACTTTCCTATTTTATATTAATTATTTGAATCTTTTATAAGCAAAGTTAATCTACCGATAAAAAGATTTATCTCTTTTTTTTCTTTTTTGAAAAAATTGTGAGCCATATTTTGTTTATCAAATAACTTCTTTCCTACTAAACTAAATGAGAGAAGTAAAATCCCAAAATTATATTACTGTTCTAAAGTTCACTGCTTGAATCTCAATACGAGTGTACAACTAGTGATGAGGTTGTATCTTACTTTACTTATCAGCTTAAGGATTCTGGTATGAACTATCAGTGTCTTAATAAAAAATATGTAAGTCACATAGTTTAAGGGAATGAGTTTTGTGAGGAAGAAGTAGAGGGAAAGAGTTCTCGAATAGGTGTTTAAGGTAGCAAAGGTTCAACTTTTGCATGTGTACATAAAATGTTTTATATAGTGGGTGATGGAGACGGGTGTGTGATAAGTCCCAATAATGAGGATCATACTGATAGATTAGGTGAACAGTGTTTAGTACTGAGATCATCATCATAAATAATTAGATGCATTTAACGAGTAAATATGATTGGAGTTACTGTTTTCTCTTATGTAATAAATGAAGTGTGTGATTACATGAAACTGAAGGTCAAGTCCATAACAATTATCAATTCTATTTGATAATATTAGTTGGGCCAATTTTTATTGACATGTACGACACTAATATAACAAAAAGAATAATAACTGAATGTGTAAATATAACTAAATATGTCTTCAATTCTATTACAAGAATAACTACGTCTAATTTTCATATAACAATTTTAATGTAATATTAACAATGTGTGTGTGTGTTATATTTGCATTATAACTAAATATAGGGTCGCACGATTCTGCATTCATGTCTGCTGCAAATACCTTTATCAAGATCCGCATGCGAATTCTAATAAAGATATATCTGCGGCAGACAAAATTTCTCTGCCGTAAATATAGAGATATTTTTGCCTTAAATATGTATAAAACAAAATGCAGCTGGATGTAGTGCTTCTATGAAGCTAAACAAGTTAAAGAGAATCTAGCCATCGAATATTATCCGTAGCATATTAATTTTGTTGAATATGATTGTGCCTCAATTAGTTCCATATGTGATTTCATGTTACTGCGAATGGTTGTATGTTTCGTTTGAAAGCCATTATATATAATAAGTCAAAGGCAGTAGGCAAATTAAGGGCAGAAAGCAAAGTTCTGCATTGGAAAAGGAATTCCATTTTGTATCCTTATTCGCATGATGCGGGGGAATCATATAATATATATATAAAGAAAAAAAAGTGAAAAATAAATTAATATCAAAGAAGAAGAAAGAAAGTAAATAATGCATAACAAAGAGAAAGTAGAGTCTGATAAAGTACATCTTTTATATAAATATATGCATAATCAACATTTAGAGGAATTAAAATAAAGGGGGCTAAGCATCTAGTATTCAATTAATTGCACTGATTAGCTTTGAGATACAATATTAGAATAACAGATTTTCTAGGTATAAAAAATAACTTTAAAGATTTTTACCAAAAAAAAATTCCAATAAAAGAAAATAAATCACGTCGATTATTTTTCTGTCTATTTCTTCTTCTTCTTCTTTTTTAGAGTAACATGTAAATTTCTCATTTTAGAAATTTCTTTAAAATACTCAATTTAATGATTGATATGTGTAATAAAGATAATATTTAAATATAATTTGATTTTTAACGTGACTTATACTACTTTTGTATTTCTACGTTCTTGATTGACTTGAACGCATAAAATAAATAATTTTTTTAAGAAAAAAATTTCTATGCACGAACTACCAAGGACGAGGGTGTTATGCTATATTTAAAGGGTTTTCGTTTTATCCTTTAATATAACACAACAAACTTTCCTACACTCACAACATTTTGTGGGACCCACACTTTTTAAAACAAATAAAAAATAAAAAATTAAGGCACGCAAAACGAATCTCTATAACATTACACAATCACTTTTCCTACAACATAACTCTTATAAAACCCATATTTAAAAAGAAGCTCCAAGTCAGTGTTAATCCATACCAACTGTTTGTAATAGAAATTAGGAGAGGAAAAATAGGAGAGAAGATTGGGAAAGAATGAGGAAGAGAAAATAAGAGAATGATTTAATAATTATCTTCTGCTTGTTTTATGTTATTAGTGAGCTATCCATCAGAACTTTGACAAAAATAATAAAATTTCACTTTGAATTAAAAATTAATAGTACTCCTAAGATAATTATTAATAGGATATAATATAAGTACTTATATATATATATATATATATATATATATATATATATGAGGTGAGATCCTTTGACACCAGTTTCAGATTTGAAATTTGATACATCATCTGAGAGCCGTTAGATAAAAAAAGATCAATGATATCACATGCTTACAAATCAGAGTCGTTGATCTTTTTTGATCTAACGGCTCTTAGATGTCAAACTTTAAATTTGACACTGGTGTCAAAGGATCCTACCTCATATATATATATATATATAAGGGTTACATTTGCAACTTTTTTTGTTTACAACTTTTACAACCTCAACTATGTACTCGTGGAAGTACACTCTCCAGTATTTGTACCCCCAGAAGTACATAGTAACGGTTGTAAGATTTGTAAACACAAAAAAGTTGTAAACGTATTCTGCCCCATATATATAAGGTGGCTTAACAAATAAGTAAGATTTCATAAAAAAATAATTCTCTTGTTCTCAATTATAATTATCAAAATAATTAAATTTAATTCGTTACAATAAAGGTCTTAACCACCATTTTATAAACTAATTATAAATTAATTAGAAACTAAAATTTTTATAAA